AGGGCAGTGTCACTGGCCCTCATATGTGGGATCCGAACCGGGGCCCTCTGGTGTCCCAAGCCAGTTCTTAACCATCGCGCCACTCGGCCGGCCCTCAGCTTTTTCCTGAGTTACTACTTTGTCACATGACCTAGGACTAGTTGATCCCAGGCCCCAGAATTCACAGTGGCTGAGTCCCTGGGCAGGACCTGTGGTGTCAGAGATGCCTTTTGAAGAAAAGAAGAGCATGGCTGCCAACACCCTGAATCTGAGATGCTGGGCAGGGAGGGCAAGTATGGGCTTGGTGCCCAATGAGGATGGCTAGGGTGGTGACTGGACAGAGAAATGACAGTGGGGCCCTCGGACCAGCACTTGGAAGTGGGAGGCTAGGAGGAAGGACTGGTATAATCGTGGAGACCACAAAAGTGAATTTCATCTACTTCATGAAATTTCATCTACTTTGTCTCCTTCCATCTCTGGTGCCAATCACAAGGCCATTAGACCCAGTTGGAACCAGCTCACCTCAAATCCTCTCACGGGGGAGCTTGGCTTGTAGGTGATGTTGTTACACATGAGTACATGCTGGTCATTCTTGCTCTCAGAACATTGTGCATTCTTTGAAATAAATAGCTCAACGGCCTTTATACTTAGATGAACTGCAGAGCCTCCCTGGGCAACAGTTGTCGTATTTCTTCAGTAGTAGGGGATAAATTTCATGTCAACACAAGAGAAGCTGATGGCAAACTCCAGATTAAGCAAATTATGCATTTTATGTTCAGACAGATCTGTGGTAGAAGGCCACAGCTAATGAGAAAAAGGGCCCTTCTCTTCACTGCTTTTATGTACTCTAAATCTCCAAAATATAAGATAGTTAACTTGGACTAAGTGTTTAGGCTTTTCTATATAGCCTTATAGAAATGCTGAGTTCAGGCCTCATTGTCAATTCAGATACTTCTGTTAATTGAGGATCAATTGTTTGGACACAGCAATTTTGAAGTGAGAGTCCTACATCTATATGAAAACATTTAAAATGCATTTAAAGAAAAATAAAGGGCCACTTTTAAAAGCATGTGTAAACAGCAAATAAAATGATATAAATAGGTCCACTAAAAGGAGATTCCAACAGACAGAATATTTCCATGATGAGTATGGAGTGGATTCCAAAAATTACCATGTGGCAATCACATTCCCCGAAGGACAAGAGTAGTACTGACTCAGAAAAATGTCCCCTGTGGCAGTAGCACTTACATACGAGTATAGAGAATCTTCTTATGTGTCAGTATCTACTTATTTGTTTTTAAAAAATCAAATTTTATTCATCTCATCAGAGTTTAAAAATAATGCATTAAAAATGTTATCTAATGAAGAAATTAGTATTATGCTAAATGCTCAGTGTCTGATTCTGAAATATTGTACCACATAGGTTGGTGTTTCACAGAGTTTGGTTCAAATCAAGGCCATCTGATCAGAATCATTTAAGTCGGCAAACTTCTATAAAGGGCTGGGCCAGATAATAAATATTTTAGGCTTTGCCATATGGTCTCTGTTGCAACAGCTCACTTCTGCTCAAGGTTGTAGTGTGAAAACAGTTATAGGTGATTCATAAATGAATTACTGTGGCTAATGTGCCAATAAAACTTTATTTACACAAAAACAGGTTGTGTGCTGGATATGGCCCACAGGCCATAGTTTGTGAACACCTAACTTAGAGCAGTGTTTTTCTTTTTCTTTTTTTACCTGAAACCCACAGTAGGAAATACATATGACATCAAATTCAGCACAGATACACACACACACACACACACACACACACACACACACAGAGAGTCTCACAAAACATAACTTGCCCTTTGTACCAGGAATGCACTCTGCTAATCTCTCTTCTGCTCTCCTCTCCTATTTAGTTCTATAAATGTTAATCCTGACCATACTAATGATTCATCACCTACAGATCAAAAACCAGTCATTGATTGTTAAAACACCTATCCCTGCTGCTCTGCCAGTTACAGCTCCTCACCTAGGATATTGCAGAGTGACCCCAAACAACTAGTTTTGTTTTTAAAAAGATCCCCCCAGCTGATTCTTGTGCATACCAGGGTTAAAAGCTCCTGTCTGGTATATCAAATGGAATTGTGCACTGAACTAAAATTAAATGTATGCCAACAATTATTTTCTGTAAAACTTTCCCACATTTTCAAAGGGGGCTCTCAGGTTCTCATTTTGGTTTGCTTCGATTTATGCATGATTTAGGGCTTTTTTTTTCTTTTCCTCTTATGTCACTTTTAATTTCCAGTATCATGATAGAAGAAAAGAAAGAAGAAAATGGAGTTCAAGCATTGTTACATTTGTAATCAATGCGGTCACTAGGACACATACTGAAAGGATAAGTGATTGACATGAAGTTATTTGAAGGGAATATTTTGACCTTATTTGTCTTTTGTTAGAATTGTATTAAACATCTTCAATTTTGCCATGTAATTGAAAGTGTTCTTTATGTTGTATGATTAATATTCCATTCACTTGGTTTGTTATAGGGATTCTAAGTTATTTTTCCTTTCTCTGACAAATTCTTATGGATGTGTTCGAATATCTTGAATTGGACTCTACCTTTCTTAGCTTTACCTCTGGCTATAATGATGTTAGAAGCTAAATTCTATTTGGGGTAAAATAAGTGTTATTTTATTCAACTAATGCACACCGTTAATCTGCCACAGATGGCCACTGTAATTACAATGAGTTAAGTCTTTTACCAGGCTTAAGATCACATACTGTTTGCCCCCAAGTTTGACACTTCATTCTCTAACTCTACTTTCAAGAATTTTTCTCACTCTTGGCTGAAATTTTGTGGCTGCTGCCTGTCGATTCAGCATTTATTTCCTTTGTTTGCTGTAGTACGACAGAGCTGGAATTGGACGTTCCTCAGAGGCCTCAAGCTCTGACATCTCCTTCCTTCCTTTTCTTCGATTAGAGTTGCATGGGGATGATAATGATGACTTGGAGAAAGAAGGAATTTCTTGGAGTTAGCAGGAATTCTGGAGGGAGCCTGAGCCAGCCTTGTCTGTAAGACAGATTAACTGGCCTCCTCCCTACCCTTTCAGCCAGGGCTGTTTTCCATTCCAGAATGATCATAAAGCTGGCCAAGACCTGTCCCAGGCTGTGTGGATGGGGGCACTAGGCGCACGGCAATTCCAATTAGCAGTCTAATTTTATCTTGGCTTCTGGCCAGAGGGCTTCATCTCACAGCACATTTCAAACACCAGAGCAAACGGTCAAGTGGGTTACCATGGACTTATCTTGGCTTGCCCTAGAGGTTATGGTCAATTACGTTTGAGGGCCGTTTTCAAGCAAGACAGAATCAGGAATTGGAATGGAGGTTGGAACCAAACATGTGTTTTTATCCCGACTGGGAAATGCTTATCAAAATAGTTCTTAGTTATCAAGTAAGCACAAAGTGCCTGGAAATGACGTTCCCAGTGAAGGGAAATGGCCCAGCTGTGCTTTTTTTGGCTTTCTCTCATCTGCTCAACAGGAAAAATATTAATCAATGGAAAAAATGCTCCCTGTCTGTTAATTTAACACGTGAGTTTTAGATAGTGTGGGAAATAGTAATACCTAATGTTTTTATATCACAATTTTATTACATGGATTGCAAAGAACTTTTTAGAAAATGGTTTTTACTTAAGCCACACATTTGCGCCTGTAGAGATGTTTTACTTTCTTGATGGCACAGCTGAAAAACTGAGGTAGAGTTCCAGGGTGCCCTGCAGCCTTACAGTAATTGTGTGTGATAGTCAAGGGAAGAGGTCTGATGACCCTCTGTAACTTACCACCAGGCAACACCTTTTTCCCCATCAGCAGGGAAGCAATTCGCAATTCAGTGTTTCCTCATAAAACAAATTAGCAACACTTCTCCAAGGAGATAAAGAATATCTAAGACAAAAGTCCTATAACTGGGATTTCCATATTTCAATATCTCGCTCTGCCTACTTTTTGAACTTTTATTGAAGGACGACTTACGTCCAACAAAATGCACACATCAGAAGGGTCCAGCCTGATGCATTTTCACGAAGCGAACCCACCCATGTAACCATCTCCATGCTTCTGTTCAAGGTGATGAGGCTTCGCAAGCTGGCTCAGCAGATTGCAAACTGCAAACAATGCATTGAGCGGTCGGCATCACTCATCTCCCAAGCGGAACACTCTCTCAAGGAGAATGACCATGCGCGGTTCCTACAGACTGCTAAGAATATCACTGAGAGGTGAGTGCAGGGGCTGCTGGGAAGTTCTCAGCTGCTGGGCTCCTGTGTCGGGTGTGATTGGTTGGCCTTGCCCTCGCTTTGCTTTTGTTTTCATTTTCAAGGCTGAGTACCAGAGAGAATAGGTGCTTTGACTTGCTTTGTTCCAGCCGAGGATGCTTCCCTTTGACATGTCAGAGCCTCTTCAGCAGCAGCCTGGAGTTCAAGGCCTTTGAAACAAGAGTCTGCCAGTTAGGAAGAATAAAATCAGCCTGCTTTTAGGGGAGGAAAGCTTATGATGTCACAAAAACAGCATGTATTGTGACTCTCAGACCTGATCTTATCATACACTTGATAGCAAAGAATCAAAAAGAAGGCAAAAACATAAAAGGGACTCTTTTCTTCTATCTCGGGCTCATCTACTAAAGGAAAATGGTCCAGGTGTTGTTCTCTTTCAGACCTGTTTTTATCTAGTTGAGAAGCTTCACCTTTCCTGAAAAGGTCAAGGCCAACTAATGTGGGAGAGAAAGGACCAAACTGTCAACTTCACCTCCTTTTTTAAAAATACCCTTTATTCTAGGATAGGGAACAGAAAAATGATGTTATTTGAATGGTCAGCCCGGAGGTAAAACTGCCAAGGTGAGTGCTCCTTTAGTACCCACACTTGATTGGCATACAAATTACTGGTCTTCACTGATACAGACACCTATAGCAATTCAGGTGGAGCCAAAGATAGGCACCTAACACCACCTAAATGACATCTCCAGTCAATGCCAATGGCCTTGACTTTTTGTCTTCAGAGTCAGTGCCCCTTATCCAAAGGAATAATAGAAGCCTATAGGCCCCAGACAGCTCATTCATGCTGGGCTTTCTCCTAGAGCAGGAGTCTGCAAACTTTTTCTGGAAAGGACCAAAGAGTAAATATTTTCAATTTTGCCAATTATAAGGTCTCAGTCACAACTACTCAACTCTACCATTGTAGCTCTACAACAGCCTATATAGATGATACAGAAACAAATGAACATGGCTGTGTTCCAGAAAAACCATTTGCAAACAAACAGGCAGGAGGCCAGATTTGGCCCATGGGCCATACTTTGCCAACCCCTGGCCTAAGAGAAAAAGTACAATCTTAGGACTTGAACTTCATCAAGGAAGGAGAAAGAAAACTAACATTTATTGAGTGCTTGCTTGTATTGGACACTGTGCTAATTCTCAAAATACTGCATAGATGTAGGCATTGATATTTTCATTTTCACTGTTCTTTGAATGAGAGTAGTATGCAGTATTTTTACAACTCTGGTCTAGTATCCAACCAGCTTCATTGTGTTATTTCTTATATTTGAAAAAATTTCCTTCTACGACTGGTTAGATACTTATCTCCTCCATGACACATAGATAAGAGCTGGTTACCATCCCTTTTATATCCTTAAAATGATCTCCCACTTCTGTAAGTGAAGTCATTTTCTTTCCTCATGACTCTTAGTTTCCAAGTATTTAATTGTCTTCGCTGCTCTCATCTGGACTGTATCCTATTGCTTCATATTCATCCGAAAGCTAAAAATTACAGACAGCACTAGTACTCTAGTATACCCTGGACATTCTACGAGACAACGTTTACACTTATGTCATGGTTTCCGACTGGGATCCAAGAGTACTTTTCTCCTACTATAAATCATGAGATGTCCAGATGAAGTGGCTACTATGAGCTGCATTTTTTTCATCATTCCCTAAAAATTCGATCATGTATAACAATGAAAAAATTCCCACTTAGCAAGAGGAGAGAATGTGGCCCCATAACAGTTAAGATAGAACATTCTGAAAGAAGACCTACATTTGCAGTATAACACAAACGCATGAATGCCCACATGTGCTCTCCCTCAGATCTAGTGGGTCACATCTAGCCCCATTCACCTCTACCTATAACAAGCCCGTCTCACCAAGAATGGAAACATGACTAATTTCTCTTTCTACAAATGCATTGGATAGTATAGTATGTTCTCAGGCCTCACTAATGTATAGTTCTTGGTGCGATGGCCTACACATTTTTATGAAATTACATTACAGAAACAAAACTCTTCACTAAATCCAAGCATAAGTTGACCTACTACTTATGAGAAATCAAAAATTAAAATCACTTTTAGTAGCAAATTATCTGCGTCAAGAGGATGGTAAAAGAAAAATTCCCTCTGAACAGGATCCATTTTTAGAGCTCCACAAAATGACTCCTCTGTCCCTCACCAAAACATGCAATTCAAGGATCCATCAGACTTTCCCAGAATACAAAGCCAAGAACTCCAGTTGTCAGCTCTGGAAAGATTTCGCTTGATTCCAAGCATTAAAGCACATCTGATGAATGGTTTTTGAGGTGTGCTCTGAAGGGTGGTAATTGGTATTAAAACAAGATTCCAGAGCCAAATGCATTTGGAAAATTCTGAGCTGACCAAAGTAAACCACATTGTGTTTCTGTGAGACCTCACCAGGCTTTCCCATGATGATGTACACTGTCTACCGCCCACCTGAGAGAGTCCCATTTAAGTGCCATTGGCAGGGCTCAGGCAGGGGCGGAGGATATTAGGTGGGCAGGGTTGGCTGTTTAGCAGAAACCCTGTGAGCAGTACAGCTCTAGACTTATCCACCTTCTGGAAAACTGACCCCATTTGCTGCTAGCAACTGTCATGGAGATTAGGGGCATCAAACTAGAAATAGAAAGAGGGAGTAATGTGCAGCTCACCCTCTTGAGCCTCAAACTGAGACACAATGCCGTTATTTGCCCCAATATGTTGAGAGCTCAGTACACACACACTCCAGCATGCGCGCACTCGTGCACAAACACACACACACCACCGACATGAGTGTGAATGCAAGGAATTGAGAAAGTGTCATAACACCGATGGCCCAGGTGGATTTTGGCAACTTATCTGAAAGGCCAGAAGATGGGTAACAAGGATTTGGGGAATAAAAACATGGCCTAAAATGTTGAATTTGGCAGATCTCCCCTTGCCTGTCACTCCAATTAAGAATTTGAAATTGTAGCCAAAGATAAATATCTTTCCGTCAAAAAATGTGTTGGTGTTAAAAGCTGCAGTAATCTCCATAGAGTCTTGCTGTCAGTCTCTGCCTCCCAGGCTTAGGAACTTTCGTCCTTTCCATTCCCACTCCACAAAGTTCCCGCCATCAAAATGGCAGGCATTTTTAACAGTGTCGCTTGACTAAGGCATGTTTTATTTAATTGTTGGTGGGCCATGGAGAGACTTGGGAATTCAATCTCTTTTGGATGAGCCTGAACAGAGGCTTCTGCCACTGGACGGAGGGAGTGCTAAAGCAAGCTTATCTGTTCAGAGCAGTCAAGACCTGTGCCGCGTGTGCACGGCAAAGAAATGCAATCGAAAGTTAGGCGCTTGTGGGCCGGCCGAGGGCGCAATGGTTAAGAACTGGCTTGGGACGCCAGAGGGCCCCAGTTCGGATCCCACATATGAGGGCCAGTGACACTGCCCTCCACAGCTAAGATGCTGAACAACAGCTCAACCTGGAGCTGGGCTGCCGTGAGTCGCCAGCAACAGCGTAGGCTGCAGCCCCCACTACAGTGGGTTGCCATGGGCTACCGTGTGTAGCCAGCAGCCGCAGTGAGCGGCCAGCAGCCGCCGTGAGTGACCGTCCATAAGCCAGCGACTGATCTGCCTCGCCCGGGAAGAGTGCAATGATGGTGCCAACTTGGGCCAGTGAAGCAACGTCCTCCACAACTAGACAGAAGAACAAAAGGACAACAACTTGTCTGTTCCCCTTCCCCCATTCCCCAGCGCTGTTTCCTTCCCCCTAATTCCCCAATAAAAAAAAACTTTAAAAAAAAAGAAAACAGAAAGTTAGGCGCTTGTTCCAGAGTAACTCATTGCAATTCTCTGACTGGACATTATGGAACAGAATTGATTGGTGTTTCACTTGGATATTTTTATTTGAGGCGTTCACATAGCACTCTGGCATTTCTTTTAACTTTTCTGCATTGATGCAAATATTTTAGGCTCTTCAGTACATGGTATACTTTAAGGGTTTAGGAAATATTTGTTGAATAATCCTAGGATCGTTCTGAGTTTTAAGGAGTTGTTGTATTTGTGGGTCATAAGGAAAGCATTTTTTAAGTACAATTCCACCATCAGTGAAAAATGCCTAGCAACCATCCCTTTATCCATCAGTTTAAATTGGCAGTTGTTAGTCATGATAATTAGCCCAATTCCTTGGGGTGCAATATTTAGCCAACAGAATCACAACTCTTCTATTCATTGTTTCTTGGGGAAAGGGTCAGGTGGTGAATCTAGATTCTCCACTCTCATTCAAACACTTGAAACTTCTCTTTCCAGACTTTCTGCCTCTTTAAACTTTAATCTATGGATCCCAATATTATTCCGATTATTATACTGTTAATTATCCTCTCTACTTTCTCTCCTATACAGCACTGAAAATGCGCCAGAAATGGCCATTATAGAAACTTTAAGGATTTTGAGCATTTCACAGGTGTAAGTTTTTTATTGAGGTAAAATTCGCATAACATAAAATTAACCATTTTAATGTATACAACTCAGTGGCATTCAGCACATTCACAATGTTGTGTAATGACTACCTCTATCTAGTTCCAAAAGATTTTCATCACCCCGCACCCATTATGCAGTCACTCTCCATTGCCCTCTCCCCGAGCCCCAGTCTGTCTCTAGGAATTTGCCTATTCTGGACAGTTCATACAAATAGATCATAAAATGTGTGGCCTTTTGTGTCTGTCTTCTTTCACATAGCATAAGGCATTCAAGGTTCATTCACGTAGCATGTACCAATGCTTCTTCATTCCTGTTCATAGATGAATATTCCATTGTACAGATATACCCCCAAGTGTAATTTTTGTAGCCAGGATATATTATCTTTATAAAATCCAAAGAGCCATAGGAAGTGCAAGAGGAGATATATCTCTTGGCATAACCAGGTTTCACATTTTTCTAGATTTAATGGAATAGTACAGAGCTAGAATACTCCTCCTGGTTGCTGCCAGCTAGCTTTGTGGCCTTGTAAAAATGAGCATCAATGCCCTTAATTAGAAAATAAGCAACTAGAGCTAGAGCTAAATCATTTCAAAGTTATTTCCTTGCTCAGAAATTCCCAATGGCCTACACAGTACCCTACACATAGTAAGTCCTTGGTAGTGTTTACTGAACTTAACGAAATATGAAAATAAACAAGATTATAAGTCTAGCCTAGTTTGATATGCTCAGAAATGCCACAGTTTTCTTGTTTTTAAGATAATCACTTGCACTTTTTAATTAATCAAAATGTTCTCCTATTAATAACTGAACTTTCAAATTAATTCGAGAGTCTATAGCAAGAGATTGCTCCTTACCAGTACCTTGTGTTATGGTTTATAAATGACAACTCTAACTAGCAACCCTAAATGAAGAGGAGAAATGGTGCATCCATTGGGAGGATTTGTGAGAAAGCTTATGAATATTTTCCATGGCATCTGCTGGGAATATGGTGCAAGAAAATGAATACAAGGAGAATGAAAACAAGCCAGACACAACTCCTTTTTTAATGTTTATTTTAGAGAGAGGCTAGTAATTGATTAAACTAATCCAATATCTGGAAACATTCTTTTTTAATCTTCACTTTGCCTTTTATGCAGTTCGGAGTTTTGGAGGCTCCTCTTTGAAGTGGAGCAGGGTGGAGTCTGAAAGGAACAAACAGTTTCCCAGACAGATGTGTGAAGAAATGCCTGGAGCTATGTGCTTCTCGCTTGGGTTAGATGTGATGGGGCCAGGCTGTTAAATACACAGCAACATGAAATATGAATATTCTTTCGCCTCCGTGGGGAATTTTTTTCCAATAGTAAAAGGGAAGAGGGAAGCCATTCTGCTGTTTTTCCAATCCCTTTGCCTTTTCTTTAAGCTCGAATTCATTTGCATTGTGTTGCTGTGGTGTGCTACTCTGACATTCTTTTTAAGCTCATGTGTAAAAACAGCACTGATTTTTTGATGATCTTTGTTTTCTTTGTATGGTTTTATTCCTATGCAGGTATGCTGAAAGCCATCTTGACATTTCTAAAAAGTTGTTTTGTTTAAATTACAGAGTCTCCATGGCAACTGCTTCATCCCAGGTCCTAATTCCTGAAATCAACCTCAACGACACATTTGATACTTTTGCCTTAGATTTTTCCCGAGAGAAGAAATTGCTCGAATGTCTGGATTATCTTACAGGTATTGTCTTTTGTGTTTCCTTTGATATTGTGTATATTCAGTGATACAAATACTTTGCCACCAGATCAATTTCATAAAAGCCAGAGATGTCGGCTTCTGATTTAGGAATGGAGTCTAATATCCCTGTAAATATTGTCTGGCACTCTTTTGCTTCAACCAAAATAACACAGCCCAGGACTAAATTGGGGGCACAGGAAAAAAGAGTATCTGGATCATTAAAAGCATACTTACTACCATTCCCCCTCACTCTCAGAGTGTGGGTAACACAAATAATAGCTCTGTTGGCCATCAGGCAGACACATAGGGCAGCGTGGCTCTTTTCCATTTCATGTCACCAAGGCATCTGAGTCTCACAGTGCCTTGGCAGAGAAAAAAATGGCAGCTAACTTTGACTGGGTGTGTACCCTGCTCCGGGTCTTTGTATTTGTAACCTTGTTTAATCTTCACAATTTCAAACTGAGGTAAAGTATTATAATCCTCATTTTGCAAATGATGAAGGTCATCCATCTTGCTGGATGGAGGTCAGATACCTAGGGAGTGGCAGAAGTACAGACCTGAGCCAAGCCCTTTTGTCTCAGATCTGCACAGACTCCAAAGACCTCTGCTCTTTCTAGTAAAAGACTGAATTTCATCTTGGCAAAGGTCACCATGGCAAACATCCCCAAAATCACATTTGAATTCCTGGTGCCATGTTTTAATCCTGTGCTTTTTGATAGGCATTTTTTTGAGGGGTGGGGGGAGGGAGCCAAGCTTAAAAAACAAAAACAACAGTGATAAAAGAAAACCTTGGGCTACTCCTATTTCTAACCATGCTTCCAAATTTTTCTTTGCTGATAACCTCGAAAGTGGGAACCGAAATCATTTGCTGGTAGAATGTGGACTGTTTATATGACCTTATTTGTGTTAGCCAAAGCCACCGGTGCCTGTGACTTCAGGAAGGCGCCATATATACAGTGAAGCCAGATGTGCACTGAATTTAGGACTTGTAGTCCTCAAGAGACCACATCCCTAACTGAGCACAGCATCAGCTTCTCAGCTCGAATTCTTTGTGTGTGTGTTTGTGCAAGAGTGGTTGGGATAGGTGGAGCAAGAGAGAGAGGGAGCATTGTGTGCTGTTTGTTTTTATAGTTTGTAGATAGAAAGCAAGGAGTTCTATATTCAGGGAGCATTGTATACCCAGAAGCTCAGTTTTCTTTTTCTTTGCAAGGACACAAGGTACTGTTTTTAGCCTTTCTGTATTAACAAGAGAGGCAAGTCATCCCCCAAACTTATCTTATGTAATTCTTCTTTCAAGCTATACAAGTCCTACTAAGGAGGAAAGAAATTTACTCACAAAGCATTCACCATGAAGAACCAAACTTATTCTCAAATATTTATGAATATACTGCCCTCCTTTTTAAGCTCTTAACTCTGAGATTTATCTACATTAACACAACCCAATAGCACTTTCTGCGATAATACAAACATTCTGTATCTGTACTCTCCAATATGGTAGCTGCTAGCCACATACAGCTATGGAAAACTTGACATGTGGCTAGTGAGTTTTTATTTTTGTTTAACTTTGATTAAATGTAATTGAAATTTAAAGAGCCACATAGTGGTTCGTGGCTACTGTATCAGACAGTGCAGGTCTAGACTTTTTCTGACTGAACTGCTTTTTTATGATGGTACCCTTTTAAAAATCTTTTTCCTTATATCATTTGGGAAGGAGAATGGTTGCAACAACAGAAAAGCCAATGAGCAGTGACTAAACCCATGAAGGCGTGTTGATATCATGAAACAGGAGAACAGAGGCATGTGATCCAGGGGTGGGCAATGGGACAGTGATGACTCAGACCCCAGGGACTTTCTCTTTTTCTACTCTGCCATGTTCATTGTGTTGCCTTTGGGCCACATGATCACGACATGACTACACCACCTCCAAACATTATACTCAAGTTATAGACAAAAGGAGAGGGGCAGAGGGGAAATGGTGACAGAGAGCTGTCAGCCAAGTTTGTCTTTGTTTATCAGGAAAACAAAAGGCTTGCTCCAAAGACCCATCTAGCAAACTTCCACTTGTGTCTTCTGGGCCAGATCCATGTCACAAGGTCATGCCCAAGGGCAGAAAAGACTGAAAAAAAATGTTTGGCTGGGCACGTGGCCATTCTGTACAAAGTTGGTGTCTTGTTGACAGGAATATGTCCTCCCACCCCATTTCCCAATAATTGTTTAATGGTATTTCAATGATGTATGTCCATTCTCATCTCCATGTGGAGGCCGAAGTACTGATTAAAGGGGAAATTGCAAAAGTAGTTTGCACTGACTGGTAACGTGAACACCATACATCATCCCGATGGCTGTTTATGCCAAACTATAGACCATATGGGGTACCTGCTATTATGCCTTCTTAGCTGTCAACCTCAAATACAAATTTGACCCATTTCTAGACATAACATCGATCCTGGCCATAACATACGATGCTTGGCTGATATTGCCAAGTCCAAATAGTTTATCAGACATTTGTAAGCAGGAAATGAACTGTTTGTGGAGTATTAGACCACCAATCCGTGTGTCCTATTTATGACAGAGGCAAGAAAATAACAATTCTGGTACTCATTCCATGAATATTGAAATTGGCAGCATGCTGCTGTTCTCATTTACAGTAAATTGTGTATTGACTTTTCAGGACAAACCCATTGGGTTTATAATCAAAACAGGGTTAGCCTGCCTGGCTGTAAAAACGAGATTTTTTTTCCCTATGACATGCCGCTAAGTGGTATGTCAAGTTAATAACCTGGAGAGGTGACATTTCTCCCCTGATTGCAGCTACTGCCATGTGTCTCACAGCTACTTGCCTATTTTGAACCTAAGTTTTCTTTATATTTAATAATATATTGCAATACATAAAGAACAAAATCTTTCCACAATGATTGATGCAGAAATAATTCAATGAACTATTTAGATGATGGGAGAAGAAGTGTTTCTCCACTGATCCATGCAGGATGACCCCACACTAACGGGGACCACACAGAAAATAAGCATGTTTTACGATGCAGCTGGGCCTCCCCCACGGAATGCATCTCCTGCTTGGTGTCACTGATTCATCCACATCCAAGTCAGCACATGACACTAAATCTTGCATGTGGCTACTTCAGGAGGCAGATGTATAAATACATATTCCAGAAAGAATTCTCTGAGGGCTCTGTAGAGACCCCCTATTACAATGCACAACTTAATGCAGTGCCTGCCACATGTAGGTATTCAATAACCAATAGACAAAGTGGGGCTAATTGACCTTATACAACAGACACAAAAGTGACTTGCTTCGTATGATACTTATCCTGCCTATATGTTTTCAGGTGGCAAAGGGAAGGATACTAAAATAATCAGAGTTTTAAGGTTACCATTTTCATAAGCTTTCCCCCTCTTTGGGTTTGTTTAGGACTCATGAATCCTAATCAAAGTTTAAAGCAGGAAGGAGCTCTGCAATAGTGTAGGCAAATGTTGTTACTAACCTGTAGAATACAGATATGTTTCTCCTTTTGAAGTTAGGTTCTGGTGAGCAGAGAGTGGAAATAAAGGCCTGGATCGATTTTCTAAACCCAAGGGTTGGCAAACTTTGACTGTAAAGGGCCAGGTGGTAGATCTTTAGGCTGTGCAGGACATACGGTCACAACTACTCAGCTCTGCTGTTGTACAAAAGCAGTCAATGACAGTACATAAATGAATGAGCCTGGCTGTGTTCCAATAAAACTTTATTTACAAAAAGAGGCAGTGGGCCAGATTTGGCCCAGAGCCATAGCTTGCCAGGCCCTGATCAAAAGTATTATTGCTAGTGCAAAGCACTCACTGCCTCGTCTTTCTCTTGCTCGCAAACTGTTCTCATAAAACCGGTTACTGAAATCAATCCAATAGAAATCAACTTAAAATCATTGTTTTGGTAGGATTTAGACTTCCCTGCTCTAGAATGTGTTCAAGACATAAAACAGCAGCTTCTCCAGCAATAAAGTTAACCAAATGCCAGGGAATCATGTTTTCCTTGGGGAAGGAAAATGGACTTCTTAGATATGATGGGTTGTTAATCATGTTCTTCTTAATTTGAAATATTACCTACAAATTGAAAAATGAGAAGAAAATAAGGCCATGCTAATATTTTTTATAAGGCATCAAAACATCTAATGAAAGAAAAATTTCGAACAGTTATTTGGCTGATTTATCATGGGATTAAAAAAAAACAGAATTTTTCCAATTGGGTGCAATTTAAAATTAAAAAAATTTATGGCATCATGTAGCTCACTGATTGGCAGACTTTGGCTTACAGGCCACCTCGCGCCCTCACTTGTTTTCGTAAATAAGGTTTGACTGGAACCTGGCCATGTCCATTTGAGTACAAATTGTCTCTGGCTGCTTTCATGATGCCAAGGCAGAGTTAAGTTGTTGCAATGGAGCCCACAAAGCCTAAAATATTTACCATCTAGCCCTTTACCAAAAAGGCTTGCCATCCCCTCAATGTGGATGAAATACAAAAGTTTATCATGTTTACTTTTTGTTTAACATGTTTCCTTTCATGGAAGAGAGAGTATTATTTGTTTAACCTCCTAAATATGCTTTCAGGATAAATAGAGATAAGTCCATACTGGCAGGCTGAAGTCACACTACCCGTCAAAAATCACAGTGATAACAAGCCAACCAAATGTTGTTTGGATTGGGATCACCACCTCTAGGATAGTAGTCCTCATGGACCTGTTTAGAAAGGCCTGCTTTGACTGTCAAACATCTCTGAAATGTATGCCAGAGGTGTCTGCTTTTTTGTTGATGAACATTCTTGATGCCCACAGCTCCCAACCCTCCTACAATTAGAGAAGAGCTCTGCACGGCTTCCTATGACACCATCACTGTTCACTGGACCTCTGATGATGAATTCAGTGTGGTGTCCTACGAGCTCCAGTACACCATATTCACCGGACAAGCCAATGTTGTTAGTGAGTATGGCACACCCTATCTGTTTCTCTGTCTGGTGACTATTTTCAGATAGAAATTCATTTCTGAACTTAAACATTAAGAGAAAACAAGGAAGGAAATAATGCATAATATTTATTGGTTTGTCCTTTCTATCCAAGAAGATGATAGTACTCACTTGTACTATACTAGTAAAAATAAGTGGCCAAATAGTGATGAAAATTAATGATCCTTAGCAAACCATGTAAATGAATCTTACAAACATATTGCTAAGAGATAGAAGCAAGAAACAAAAGAATGTATATGGTATGAGTCCATTTATATATTCATCACTTAAAGATAAAAATAAACTTTCATTTATAGATGCATACATAGATGTAAAAACTGTAAGTAAAAGTCAGGATGATGGCTACCTCTGGGATGGGAGGGAGTGGCACCATCGGGAAGAAGTATATGGTGGTTCATGGGGTTAACACTTTTTGGGTAGGAGTTACATGGTCTAGTCATTGTATCTACATTTAATTTTCTGTACTTTTCTGAGTGTTATTTCACAATTTTTTAAAAAAGGATTTAATAAAATGAATAGCCAAAGAACACCAAATACATGGTCCCATTCAGAGATGAGCAGGGCCATCATTTAGAATGTTAGTAATTGGCCCGTGCCGGAGAAGAATTTCAGACCTTACTTGAAACACAGAGAGGCCCGTCTCTCGCTGGGTCCCATGAGCTATTTGGTATCAGAGACAATGCAATGATCTCAAATAGCAGCAGTAGCTGGCCATAGAGATGGTAACAGAGAAAGCACTCCTCTCTATCCCTAGAGTTCTTTAAATTCAGTTGAGTAAATGGCACAGGACCAGTTTAAATGGCTTTTCAAGGAAGCAAGTTTGAAACTTATTTAGCAAATGAAAATATGTCAAAGTAGAACAGAATAGAATGGCAGTCACTTTTCAACAAAGAAATGTTTTCAATAAATCCATATCAATGTGCTTTTATTGTATTAACCTTTTATCTCTTAACTACACTGTTCTTTCGTAGCACAAGTAAATTTGAGGCACGTGGTGCTTAAAATAGAAATTTGATTTAGGATTAATTTTTAAAAATGTGCAGAAAGACCCTGCTTCTAAGTGACTAAAGTTTAAATGACCCATACCAACAAATAGTTCCCCCTGCCTTCCTTATATCCCCTTTTGCCAGCTTCCCCTCCCCAACACCCTGCCCTCCTGCACCCCAATTGGCCTGCCTTGGAAGCTTTTATTAAAATCTTACCATTTTCCAAGAATGTGTAATTTTGGATTGAAAGGAGGAAAAAAGGGAAACATTGAGAACAGCTTTGGTAAGCTGCCTGAGTAGGTAGGAAATGTAGAGGGGGCAGAAATGGTGGGTGCAACAAAAAGGTCTTGGGGGAAGTGATGGTTAAAGTAAGTCTTGAAAGAGAGTGGGTAAATATCAGCAAGTTAGGGGGATACCACACAGCTATGTCACCATAAGCAAACTTATAGAGATGCAATGGCAGGGCATATTGAGAGAGTTCATCTAATTCAAGAAGACACATGCTCTTAATCATCAGTCACTTCATCCCAATCCACAGATGAGCTAGACCATGGAGGTCCACCCAGGCCACACCACATTTGGATTTTACCCTGTGGGCTTGGGAGTCTTGCAGAGCAGTAGTGTGACCATATGTACAATTAGTAGCTGACTCCGGCCGCACTGTGGAGGATGGAATAATACAGGGCAAGGCTAGAAGCAGAGACATGAACTAGGAGATTCGTAGTAATTCACAGAGGCAAAGATAGCCAGGACCTGCAAATGGCACTAGAATGGAGAAGGAAAGGAGAGGATAATGCCAGAACACCTTCTCTACCTCTGGCCCATAGCCCCAGGAAACATCATTACTGTCCTCAGATATTTGAAGTGCTGTGGGGGCAAGTCTGAGAAGCACAGGAACAGCCATGGTTAGGTAGCATTTCGCCCTCCTTCCAGGATTTTGGATCCTTCTGGTGTCATTTCTTATCCCCAGTTCTACATGCCCTGCTACAACTCATGAAGAAGTACTAATTCTCTGAAATCTTTCATTTTATTATAGAAGTAATGCACAAATACTAATGATGTATAAAATGTACACAGTGAAAATTGGATGTTTTTAATATACCAGCCACCTGGGTTCCAGAGTTACCCACTGCACCAATTCCATTTCTCATGCACCTCTCCTGATAGTCTATTTATAGTCACAGATACACATACACTCACACACACATGTATACATTTTTAGGAGCACAAAAGGTAGCATTGCCATACACAATTCTTTACATTGCTTTTTTTCACTGAATGTCATACTGAGAGACTATTCTATTTTAGCACAAATAAAGAACTACTTCATTCCTTTTTGAGGCAGTATAGTATCCTATTGTAAGGATATACCTTAATTTATTTATCTTATCTTCTATTGATGTGTATTTAGTTTGTTTCCAGTCTTTTGCCCTTATAAACTATGCCTCAGTGAGCATACTTGAATATCTCTTCTTTCACACATGGAGAATTACATCTATAAATTGATCTCTGGAGATGGAATTGTTAGGACAGAGATTATTTGCACTTTAATTTTGGTTGACATTGCCAAATTTCCCTTCAGAGCGGTGACATGATTTTTAAATGCATTTTTCCAGCTGTATGAGCTTATATTTCACAGATCTAGGATACATATACCATAAACTTACCATGAAGTTAAAGTCTAGCAAGATTTTCAAACCTCAATTATGCTTTACCACAAACCTGAAATACAAATTATAATCACTAATATCATACTAAATAGTCACTCCTTCACTCAAAATTATCAATTGAGGGCAATTTTGCCCCCAGAGAATATTTGATAATGTCTGGAGACAGTTTTGGTTCTCAAAACTGAGGGGAGGAGGTGCTACTACATCTAGTGGGGTAGAGAGTAGGGATGATGGGAAATATCCCACAATGCACAGGAACGTCACACACACACGCACACACAACAGAGAATTATCTGCCCCAAAATGTCAGTAGTGCTGAGGTTGAGAAACCCTGATTTAGAGCAAGGTTAAACAAATAGCATTTACATGATTACATTCTAAATACTGAGAATATAACTGAACACACTAACACACACATTACTATACTATGTAGCATAGAAGGAACAATACAACAAAAAGAAGCAAGTATAATTAATTTCTTTTTGCTTCACTTAAGGAATTACTTCCTCAGTGTTGTGGGATGGATATTACTAGCATACTGGGTAAACGGAACCAGATTTTATCAAACATTCATTTGAAAAAGATGAAATTCAAAAGATGGTCAGAAATTGCAAAGCAGTCAGAGAAAAGGAGAGCATGAAGGTCTGAGAAGATCACGTACAAAAATGGAGGGATGAGGGCCGGCCGAGTGGCTCAATTGGTTAAGAGCTTGCTCAAGAGTGTGAGCTCTGAGCAACAGCGGTTCGATGCCCTGCCCGAGCTGAGCTGTTGCTGAGCTGCCAACAGGTGGCAGGATGGCTCCGATGGGAAAAAAAAAACAACACAACAAAAATGGAGGGATGATTCATTGTAAAAAGTGAACTGGGATCAATAAGCATTGTGTCAGACTCAAAAAAAAGAGAGATGGTTTCTGAAAACACACAGAGGAATGAAAGAAGCAACACCTGTTGTTGAGTGAATAATGTAACCAGAAAAAGAAACATTTGGAGTCATTTTATATCTAAAGGATGCTTCTTGGCCCACATAAGTCATGTTATATTTCTCTGAAATAATTTTTGCTTGGTTCAGGAAAAATTATATCAGCTGCTATGTAAGAAATTCGCCAAAACTTAGCCACTTAAAACAACACCCATTTATTATTTCACAGTTTCCATGGGTCAAGGTTCTGGGCAGTTTAACTGGGTCCTCTTCTTAGGGTCCATAAGGCTGAAGTCAAGGTATTGACTGGGCCACATTTTCATCTGGAGGCCCAGTTAATGAAGAATCCACTTCCTAGCTCCCTCAGGTCATTGTCAAAATTTATTTCATTATGGCTATGGAATTCACAGCAGCTCACTCTTCAAGTCTTTCCTTCACCTCTAAACCCTCCTTTAAAGGGCTCACCTGATTAGGTCAGACCCACCCAGAATAATCTCCCTTTTGATTAACTCAAAGTCAACTGATTAGGGACCTTAGTTACACCTGAATACTCCCTTCACTTTGGCCATATAATGTAATATCACAGGAATGATAAAGATAATAAGACCTTTGTCCTTTGCCATATTCTGTTAGAAGCAAGTCACAGGTCCTATCTACACTCAAGGAGAGGGGATTACACAAAGTTATGAATAGTATGGAGTGGGAATCATGGGGGCCACCCAAGTGTGATTCCACCGCATATGGTTATCTCTCCTGAAATTTCTTGAACCAAATAATCATGGGAATTTGGACAGTACATATAGCCTTGGCCTGGACTGGTGGGCCCTGTCTCAGTTGGCTTTTGCCAAATAGCCAACAACCACAGAACCTAAGTAACATAGAACAGTAAACATTTATTGTTTGTGCATCTGGAATCAGCTAGGGGTCAGCAAGGAGGTCTTGCTGATCTTGGTTAGGCTCCCTCACACATCAGGCTGATAACTGGGGTGACTCGACTGCGGCACAGCTCTCTCCTGCAATCAAGCTCAAGAATGTTCTGGTGATCGCAGAGGTGAAGGAGGAAGGGCAGGCCCAGTTGCACACCTGCTTTTTAAGCCCCTGTCTTTGTCATGTTAGCTGACATGCCATTGACCAAGCAAGTCCAAGAATGAGCCCAGAGTTAGAATGACAGAGCCTGCAAGGTTACATGGCAAAGGGAGTGGATACAGGGAGGAGTAAGGAAGTGGAGCCAGAACCCTAACTGAATACCAGCTCTTCACCCCAACACCCCAATTAAGAAGGATATCTATTGCTTGAAACTTAGAGTTTCTCAGCTGGCTAAATGTGACTAACTTGACTTCCATGCAGTAGGCATGGAAAATAATACCAAAACAAGATTCAAA